CACAGGGACTGAGTCACTGGTCAAAGTTAAGTTGCTCATAATGGACACTGCAGCCACATGGATCCCAGGGAGTCTGACAGAGCCTGCACATACAACTTACGCCACACAGGAGCAGTTTCAAATATCAGGGAAAAGAACCATCCAACTAGAATTCCAGACACAGCATGTGGTCACTGAGTAGTAAGCATGGCATAGAGACATTTTCAGATGAATAAAATGGAAAGGCATAGACCTCCACTGCAAAAGGCTAATCAAAAAGTATAGACTGTATGCAGTAACAAACATAATGAAGATGAGTTTTATCTTCATACGGATGAAATGTAGGACAGTGGCACTATAGGATGGAGGAGGTGACTGGATTCCACACTGTGGCATCCCTGCTGTTGCAGGAGGAGGAGAGAGGTCTTCTAACCAACTGTGGACTCTGTGAGTCATGTCTGCCTAGGCTAATTTGAAAAGTAGCTGGCAAAAGGAGAGAGTGAGAAAGTATAATTTCTAATCTAATGTGGGGAAAAAAGGGAACCTGATTTATCTAATCATGATGTTGATATAAAGGCTTAAAGAAAGCTGTATTGATTGTCTGCTCCTGAGTTTTATTATTGGCATGAATTCAAATATGACTCATGTTCAGAGATGCCCAGGAGCCTGCAGTGAGGGCTGCTAAATGGCAGGTCTTTTGCTGATGCTGTTGGGGTTAATCTTCACAGTAAACCAGTTAGCATATACAGTGATGGTGAACCTTTTAGAGCTTTCAATGATACAAACAGCACACTGTGGCATGTGTACCATAGGTTTGCCACCACTGGCATAGGCTTGCCACAGCCTCCTACTCTATTCTTCAGTTGTATGGAATTAGAGTTACCTCCAACCTATGTGACTTGCTCAGAATCATACAGCTTTATGAGCCAGAACAACTTTGAAGTCACAGCTGTTTGTGTGTGCAAGGGTCGTGATATTTCCCGTCCCAGCTCTGCAGAGGGGCCACAGAAGGTGCCTTGCTCCTGTGTGTCTCATTTTTGAGCAAATTTGCCTGAAAGCCCTCTTGAAACAGGAAGTACGATTTCATTTAAAATTTAGGAGGCTTTTCTTCAGTGTTTATATTCACAGGCAACAGATGTTATCATGGGAGGACGAGATCCAGGCAACTGTTTTTTCCTATGTTAAGAAAAAAAAGCCAACAGTTTTCTTGCTAAATACATGGGAATCCCTGAACTTGGCTTTCACCTGGGACATCTGTGCGGTTGGGGTGCTTTAGCAGGGTGCTGAGAAGGGTGCTAAGTCTCAGCTTACCCACCTTCCCCCAGCAGCCAGACACTGTGGCCTGTCTGGTTTTAACTTTGTGCTGTGGTGAATCTTCATATTTTACTTAATAGTGAAGAACTGAAGTCAACCTTTGCTCAGTGGTACCTTGGTGCTCCCTGTTAGTTGGTTCTGGGAGCCACAACAAGTACCAAAAACGACGGGGCCACATTGTTTTGGCCGGAAAGGGCAGTGAGTCTCCAGGCAGCTGACACCGAGTTCCAGCTTGTGCACTGAGTACCAAGTGCTGGGACAGCATGAGTGCTGCGATAGAATTTTAACATCAAATTCAATGAGTTTCAAAGCAGTCGAGTACCAAGGTATGGCTGTATTTTAATGCTTTCTGCTCTGAACTTTAGCTTGTCCTACACTCATTCATTCATTCATTTATCCATTCATCCAGTCATTTACTTGCTCATTCACTTGTTCATTCATTCATGCGTTCTCTCATTCACGCATCCACCATCCATTCATTCATCCACTCATTCGTTCACCTAGCACTTACAGAGGACCACGGTGTGCCACGCACATTTCTCATCCAACCATCCAACCCGCGCACAACTCGTAGGCCTGAGAAAGTCTAAGCATTTGAACAAAGCCAGGAGCTTGTTATTGGAAAGGACCTGCCTTTAGATTCATTTTAAAGGCTCCTGACACTTTGCCATATGTATTTTCATTTACTCTCTTTTTTCTTTTCGACAGATCTTTATCTAAGTTGGTGCTAGGTCAGTACTTCTACTCACGGTTCCCACACATCTGAGTCAATAAGACACACTGTGCTGTGGCAGACACTGGCACAGTCTAGGCAGTGGGATGTGTACCGTACCAGGACAGGACAGCTCAGGCTGGTGTTGCCATGAGGACGTCAGTGACAGTGGAGCCTCCAGAGCCGGCCCATGGGGGACCTGGATGGCAAGCCCTGCTGCCAGAGAGCCTGAGGCTGATACCCAAGGAAGGCAGGTGGCTGAATGGGTTTGACTCAAAACGTTGACACAGCCTTCAGACCTGGTGCCTCCTTGTGTCCCAGTTTTTCAGGCTCAGTCCTTGTTGATGCCCTGTGTCTCGATGTCCTTCTGGCCTCATGGAACACTTGTGCCCTCTTTTATGTGGAGTTGAATTTGAGCAGCGACTGGCAGTAAGCTGCCCTCTTTTTTTTTTTTAAACCCTTTTTTTCAATGACAACACAAATGCAAGTGAGAAGGTGGGCCCAGGGAAGGTTATGTACTTCTCGGAGGAGCTGGCAGATGTATTTGATGCTGCCACCCCTGCTGGTGTTGAGCGTGTTAGCCAGTGGGCCTAGGTTCAGTCCCAGGGCTGTGAGCAAGGGAATGAAGTCCCTGGGCCACCAGCAGGTGGGTGGGGCCCCTGGGAAAGCAGGACACGTGAGTCAGGGCTGTGAGAGAAGATGAGGCATGTTATGAAGTGTGTGCAGAGCAGTCTGAACCTGCATACTCTCGCTATGTGGGCTTGCCACTTGTTGTATGGCATTGCCAGTGCAGGAAGTGACCTGGGGTATGTTCACTTTGGCAAGTTCTGCAGGTATAGGTAACCGGACACCTCTGGGCAGTGCAGTTCCCCATCCTCTGGTGTCCGCAGGGTTCTGGGGAGCAGCTGATCTATACCAGGGCCGTGCTCGGTGGAATAATGGCCCATGGAGATGTCCATGTCTTACTCTCTGGCGTCTGTGAATACATTAGGTCACACGGCAAAGGAGAAATTGAGGTTGCAAATGGAACTATTTGCTCATTAACTAACGTTAAGTGAGGGAGGTTATCTGGGGCTACCCAATGCAAACACAGCATCCTTAAGAGCAGAGGAGGGACAAAAGCACAGCCAAAGAGATGGCTGTGTCAGGAGGACCCATCTGGCTGCAGCTTGCCTTGTGGAAGGAGGAGCCAAGGAAGGCGGGTGGCCCCTCAAGGCTGCAAAAGCCATGGAAATGGATTCTTCTCAGGAGTGTCCAAAAAAGCAACGCGGCCCTGCTAACACCTCGATTGCAGCAGTGTGGGGCTGAGTAAGTGTTCTGACTTCCAGAACTGTGAGATCACAAATGAGTGTTGTTGAAGTCACTCAGCCTGTGGTTGTTACAGTTGCTGCAGGAAACTAATGCACAGACATAGTGGGAGGGAGCAGGGGCTCAGAAGGAAGAGGCGCGGGTTTGCATCTGGGTTTTATCCTAACCAGCTGCCTATTCTTGGGTAAAGAACAGAATTTCTCTTTAGGTTCCACTGAACATGTTTTCTCTATTTTGCAGTTCTTAAGAGACTTAAATGGGGAAATGGACAAATAATTACAAATAATTTCATTGTTTGCAAATGGGAAAGTCAGGGGGTTATAATGCTGGTGAGGAGGAGCTCATGGTGGTTAAGATAGCTAAGGATTAGAAACTGACCTCCAGCCAGGGTGAGAGGAGTCCATCTGTGTACACAATCATCGCACAGAATCCAGGGGTGGACTCTGGCCTCTGGCCAGCAAGTACCAGCAGCCACTTTTGGTAATACCTAGACAAATGTGCCACTGTAAGTGGGGATTAGTCCTTTAAAATCCCTCCTGGGGCTCTTTCCTGCTAGGAGTGACACATACAGGGGAGGCAAATCAGCTGGGCATGGTGCCACCTGCTTGTAGTCCCAGCTACCTGGAAGGCCGAGGCGGGAGGATCACTTGAGCCCTGGAGTTCAGGGTCAACTGGGCAATAGAGTGAGACCCTGTCTCAAACAACACCAGCAGCAGCAACAGCAGCCATAAAATGAGATCAGTTGGTAGACAGTTAACACCTCAGCTTCTACACATGAATGAGCATTCATCAGCTGAAAAGTATATGCTCCCTGCCTCTGCATAATTAAGCCAAGAAGACCAATTTCTCTCTTGTTTTTCTTCTGTTTCAGTTTTGATTAAACAGAAGAGCTCTCATGATAGTTTTGTTTAAGTAAAATCCGGAACATACCAAACAAACTCAGTTATTTTCGTTATTTCTTTTTTTATAAGCTGAAGAAACCAAATCCATGTGTACTTCCTGGCTGAGCAGGGAATCCCAAAGATATTTTAGGTGTCAAAAAAATCTTAAAAGTTTCATAATTCTCAATTTGGGAAGGATAACATTAAAATGATTTATCAGGATAGATTGCTCACGAAACAACAAGTAGCTAGTGTCTCGGTATTTTCATTACTGAGAGTGAAAATGCAGCGTTTAAAACTAACATGATTCAAATTAATATAATTGTCTTAGTTGCTTTCTCCTCAATGGAACAAAATATCCAATATCCACAACTGAAAGGAGGAGAAATTTATTTTGGTTCATGTTTTCAGTCAATGGTCATCTGGTGGCTAAAAGGCAGAAACAGCATGGTGGAAGGGGGCCGGGTGAAGGAAAACCATTCATGTCACGTGGCTGGGAGGGAGATCCCCCCTTCCAAATCACAGCCAGTGACTGGCTCTCCTGACCAGACCCCACCTGGTAAGAGCACATTTGATTCTGAACTCTCAGTGGCTTAGTCCCCCAATGAGTATAGCACCTGCACGATCCAGCTACCATCCCAAAGCTCAGACTCTGCACATAGGAGACTTTGGGGACATTGTAGATCTGAACCATAACAATAATTAAGAATAGTAACCCTAAAATGGTTCAAGGTACACCTACCTCTGGTCCTGGTCAGTATAGATTAACCCAGCACAACTTTCTTCTGTCACATGTTGCAACTAAGAACTATGGACAGAATATAAAATGCAGTTCTCAATGACTTTGAAAAGCAAAAGCAGAAGGCAAATGCAGGAGAGAAATCAAAGCTTGCGGAAGTGGCCCATTGGAGGTAAGTCCTCTGTTTTTCCTTTCTTTTATTTCTGACCTGTGGTTGGCTCCTTCCTGGACTGTGCAGGGGTGTTGGCCACAGGAGCCTGAAGGAGAGCCCCGCTTTGCGGGATGTTCCTCTTCTAGCCACATCCCACTCACATCGCCAGTGTGGAGCTGTCTGGGCTGATGTTAGCAGCCAGGCCTGTGGGGAGGCTCCACCTTTCTGGCAGCCAGAAGGCTCCGGGCCCTGGGGCCCTGGGGAAAGGGGTCCCTGTGCTCTAGAGAGAGATTTTTTTCTCTCTTTCTTGCACTGCTTTCTCTTGAACAGGGCTCAGGTGCACAGAACCATGTGGCAGCGATGTGAGCAGCTAAATGTTGGCTAGAAATGGGCATTTCTTGGTGAAAAAATGAGAAAGGGAAGAGAATAGAATGGAGGAGGTAGAGGCAATTCTTATTTTGAAAACTGAACTAACATGGAAGCCAGTGCTGCCGAAGTTAAGACAAAACTTGTGGTTTAAATTTAACCAAGTTGATGAATGACAGTGATGCAGTGGTCAACTACCAAGAAGAATGAGGATATAAATGCACTGTATATGTATCTAAAGTTTAAAACACATGAAGCAAAAATGGTGGGATTGAAAGTAGATAAAGATGAACCCATGGCTCTAGTTGAACAGTTCGACACTTTGCTTTTAGTAACTAAGAGAATAAATAAATCAGCTGTGCCATGGAAGCCTGGAGTGACATTCGGCAGCAGTTTGGCAAAAATGCCCCTGTAAGGCAGCAACTGCAGTGATGCTGGAGGCCCCTGTTCAGCTCAGAGGCCCAGGCTGGCCAGGCAGCCTCTGAGGGCTCTGCAGAACATCAACGAATACAGTGCAGGCCACTAGCACTAAATAATCGGAAGCTATCTTTATTATTTTGACACGGACAAGAAAGAGAGTGTATGCCAGCAAAGAAATTTACCGAGGGGTGTGATGGCTGATTCTAGGTATCAGCTCGGCTGGGCCATGATGACCAGTTCTTCGGTTTAATGCCAGTCGAGATGCTGTGGTGAAGGTGTTTCCAGGTGTGACTAACATTCAAACCTGTAGGCTTTGGGTGAAACAGATGCCCTCTGTAACGTGGATGGAGCCCTTCCAATCAGCTGGAAGCCTTCAGAGAGAGAGTCCGGTGTCCTGAGCAGCAGGAGTCTTACATCCAGGACCCTGTACACTCAGCTCCTCCCCAGCTCCAGCCTGCCCTGCAGACTGGGGACTTGCAGCCCCCAAATCACATGAGGCAATTCCTTAGATAAACCCCTTTCTGTCTCCCCCTCTCTCCATCACTGTCACTATGCCTTAACTTTTCTGTGCATCCAGAGAAGCTTGGATAATACAAGTTTGCTGAGTGGAAAATTCAGGGAGTTCTAACTGCTACAAAAAGGAAGATCGTGATGATTACATGAATAAAGCACTACACTTTGGGGCCAAGGATTTAGCTGAGGGGTGCCAGTGCCTGCCTCACAAGCACAAGGTCCTGAATTCAATCCCTGGTACCAAAAAAAGAAAAAGAAAAAGCATTGCACTTGGTCTTCTAGATCAGAGATCCCTAACATTTTTGGCACCAGGGACCAGTTTTGTGGAAGATGATTTTCCTGTGGATATTCTCATATTTCTTTTTTCTTTTTTGGTATTGGGGATCAAACTCAGGACCTTGCACTTTCGAGGCAGGAGCCAGAACCACTGAAGTAAATCCCCAGCCCACATATTTCTGATACATAATTTTTGATACAAATTACCCCTCCCAGTGCTAGCATCAGTGCCTCAGCTCCATCTCAGATCATGAGGAGTTAGAGTCTCACAAGGAGCACAAACCTAGAGCCCTTGCACACACAGGTCACAGTAGGGTTTGCACTCCTACGAGTTTAACGCCCCACTGACCTGAGAGGCGGCAGAGCTCAAGCAGTGATGCCTGTGATGAGGAGTGGCTGGAAATACAGAGAAAGCATTGCTGCCCACCACTCACCTCCTGCTGTGTGGCCCAGTTTCTAACAGGCCACGTACCGGGTACCAGTACCAGGGTACTGTCCATCGCCCTTGGTTGGGGAGCCCTGCTCCAGAGAGGACAAAATGTCTCCACAGGCCCGTCTAGAGTTGGCCAGGAGCTTGCCGTCTTCAATGAAGCCACTGGGCTCTGACAGCCAGGTCCCCTAAGGCTCACACTACAGCTGGCTGGGGACAGTCGAGATGAAACAGCATCGTTTTGATAATTGTGTGATGAGTACAGCTGGAAGCCAGATTTTCCTCCGCACATTTGAAGGCCTGGGTTTAGCAACTGGCTCTCAGTCACAATTCTGTTTTCACTTTTCCTTTAAGATTCAATAGCTACAAAATGGCCACACTGGGGAAATAAGACTAGGTCACAAGGAAGGCAAGAAGTCAGCATTTAAGGAATCAAGTAGATCTTCCTTCGGTGCTCTCATGTTTGAGCAGACATCAGGGGCAGCGAGCGTTCAGACACCTTTGGGCTTTGTCCACGCAGCCTGAAGCCTCCACTCAGATGCCTGCCTCTTAGGATGGAAGCCCCAGCTTCTGATGTTGAAGCCCTACCCCAATGGGTCTGTATTTAGGGAACAAGGCAATAAGGAAGTATTTAAGGATAAATGAGGTGCTTAGGTACCCTTAATCTAATAGGACTTGTGTCCTTATAAAAGAGGAAGAGATACCAGAAATTTCTCTCTCTCTCTCTCTCTCTCTGATGCACAAGAGCAAAGCCCACATGGGGACACGACAAGAGGGCCGCCATCCCTAAGCCTGGAACAGCGCCCCCACCAGGAACGGAATGTGTCAGCACCTTGTTCTGGGCCCCCCAGCCTCCAGTCTGTTGTGGAAGCCCTGGGCTGTGATGCTTTGTTATGGGAACTGTGCTGACTTAGACACGGAGACGACTTTTCCTCTAAACTGGAGCTCAGGAGTTGGCTCAGGTCCTCAGACACACTAGCCTGGCTTTGAACGAAAACCCACCCAAGCCAAAGTCACACCCAGGCTATCTGCCACCTAAGTGCTTCCCGATGGACGTGGTCGGCCACTCCTTTGCTTTAAGCCTTGGAGTGTTTGTTCAGGGGCTGCACAATTGTGCTCCTCCCTGTGGAGAGTCATCCAGAGGCCTTGCTAGGGTGGCTTCTGCTCCTCCTCTCCCCGAGTCCCCTTTCACCCATGAGCTAGAGCTGCCAGCTGCATGGTCAGTGCAGTGGGGCGGGGGGGTCCCAACGATGCCCCTGCCTGGTCTCTGGCACCTCTGATGCTGTCACCTTGCATGGTCAAATGAACTTTGCATGTCGAGTTAAGGCTAGGGGCCTTAAAGTGGGAGATTATCCGGGGTGATAATCACTCGGGCCCTTAAAGTGGACAGAGGGGTCGAGGGGCCAGAGAGAGGTGGAGGAGAAGAGGCAGGCGAGGGTTGAGGTGTGAGACATGGGCCGTGGTTGCCACCATAACGACGGAGCAGGCCGTGGCCAGGGAGGGCCAGTGTCGCAAGATGCCAAGAAAAACCCTGGCCAACAGTCAGAAAGAAACAAGGACTTCGCCCCACGGCCCCAGTGACTGGATCCTCCAGATACCCAAGGGAGCCTGGAAGCAGACCCACACCACAGGTCAGCCCGTGAGACCCCTCGACTTTGTCCTCCGGAGACTCACAGGGATTTCTGGCCCCCACTAAGTCTGTAGTAGAGTTGCCCTTCGTGTCCGTGGAGGACCCTCAACACCCACAAAGGCGCCAGTCCCTTATATAAAATGGCACTGTTTGCATAAACCTAGCCTCTGCCCCATAGCCTTCAGATCCCCGCCAGATGACTTAGATTCCCCGTTCAGCGCTCATTCTCTGCACACAGCTGTGCCTTGTGGATTAGGGAATAACGACAAGGATGAAAGTTCTCTACATGTTTGCTACAGTTGTAATTGAAAAAAAATATTTTTGGTTTGCAGCTGGCTGGATCTGAGGGTGCGGAACCTGCAGACACTGAGGGCGATGGGTCTGTCACAGCAGGAGCAGGAAGCTGTCCTGCACATGTGTCCTCTGTGTGCTGACTCTGTGGCAGGAACCCTTCCCTAGTTCCCACCTGGGGAGAAGGCCACCTGTCCCGGACGTCAGCTCTCTCGGCCTCTCCCTCAACAGCCGTCCCTGCCCTCCCAAGGGCCCAGTGAGATTGAACCCAGGGCCTTCACCCCAAGCTACATCCCCTGCCCTTTTTTAAGTTGCTTAGTGGCTGAGTTGCCCAGGCTGGGCTCCAACTTGTGAGGCTCCTCCCATGCACCAGTGAGCAGGATTTGTCACATCCTCCTTGGTGCTCTGTAGAATTTGCCCTGCCTCTGTATCCCTGTGGTAGCTGTCTGCATGATGCCACTGTTTGCTGCAATCTGAGCTTTAATGGCAGGTGGGCCCTGTCCCTAGTCTAGCGCCCTACAGTCTATGGACCAATATTTACTGAAGGACCGTGTTCTTGTGGCCAGGGGACAGGTCCTACATACTGGGTATTCAGTGGTGCCTAAATCAGAGCAAGACCCTGTCCTCACGAAGCTTGGAGGCTGCACATGGTCAGGGTCTCATGGTGTGTGCTGCATTGGAGGAGCCAGTCCCTCTTGGGCACAGGGGAGCCGCAGCTTCCAGGCAGAGGATCGAGCTGGCCTCGTCAGGACAGCCGAGGTCTTTGCATACCTGAGCTCCCTCCCTCTCAGGGCTGGTGTGGGCTCCAGCAATGCTCATCACAGAGTCTGGAGGACATGGGGTTAGCTCGGGTTGCCCGTGGTGTAATAACCAGGGTGCTGTTTTATAGCTTTGTTCATAATGTGACTGAAATAATATTGATGCACACAGTTCCCAAATGCATTCTTCCCATTCACCTTTACATTTTATCCCCAGGGCAAACCTTGGGCAAATACGGAAGGGAAGCCAAGGAAAGCAAAGGAAATATTTAACTGGTGACAACTTATAGTTGCCTTATTTGCCTGTCTTGCCGGAGAGTCCTGAGTTATAAAAGTTGGTCAGTGGGTTCAGGTTGGTTAGCTTGAAGTTTCATTTTCCTTTACTTCAGGCAGTCCCTAAACTCACTGAGGAGGCCTCTCAGGCTCTGTCTGCATTCCCTCCTCGGAGCCCCCAGCCCATCTGGTTAGGAGCTGCCTGACTCGCTAATCCCTGCTTGTTCAAAGGAGGGCTTGAAAGTGATATGGTGCCTCTGTTTCCTTTCTGAGGCTGGAGAAGAAACTGATGCAGCTGCCACCCTGATCTCAGGCTCTGGTCTCTGCAGCATGGGACAATAGGGTGTCATTTGAGCTGCCACCCTGGGGTTCTTTATCAAGCCCCCCCCCCAGGGGGGAGGAGCTGTTGTTCTTGTGGCCAGGAAGTGGGGTGGGGGAGGTCCTCTAGCTCCACCCTTCGTGTCCTCAACCTGCTCTCTTCATTCTCTCCCCTTCTCCCTCCTGGCCTCTGCAGTCGGGTGGCTCCCTCCTTGGACCACCAGGATGCCCTGTTTGCTTTTACCCTAGAGTCTGGCATGGACACAGCTGGTAGATGTGTGTTCAACACAGGAGTCAGCAGACAGGTGCAGTTTGTGTCTGCCACTTTCAGTGTCCTGACTCTTACCCATCACACGCAGACCTTTGGTGGAGAGAATGGCTGGGGCTGCAAAGCCAGGTGGCATCTGACCCTCAGCTTGGGTTCACTGGGATTGGGGAACCTGAGCCTGTAGCTCAGGGTGATCACAGAGGATGCCCAATAAATGCATTTATTTTAGTTACTTTCTTCATCCCTGGGACAGAATATCCCACACCTGCAGCTTAGAGGAGAAGGGCTTTATTCAGGCTCATGCTTTAGAAGTTGCAGCCCTTGCATGGCTAACAGCATGGCAGAGGAGAGCTGCTCACCTCATGGCGGACAGGAAGCAGGGACAGAAGGGAAGAGCTGAGGAGGGAGATGCACCTGACCAGGCC